CTGGAGGTAGATTAATAACCAATTAATATCCATAGTGATTTCCAAAGTGGTTGTACAAGTTTGTGCTCCTACCAGCAATGAAGTAGTCTCACATGTGTTTTTTATCTTAGGCATTTTGACAGCTGTAAGATGGAATCTCACCGTCATTTTGACTTGCATTTACCTGATGGCTAAGGATGCTAAACATTTCTTCAGTTGCTCCTTGGCCAATTGAGATTCCTCTGTTGAAAATTCTTTGTTTATATCTGTACCCTCCTTTTTAAATGGATTTTTTTTTTTTTGCTTTGGTGATGTCTAGGTTCTTGAATGTTTTTTCTTTTTCTTTGTGTGTGTGTGTGTGTGTGTGTGTGTGTGTGTGTGTGTGTGTGTGTGTACTATAATACTCAGCCCTCTGTCCGATTGAGTGAAAAATCTGAGTTGGTGAAAATCTTTTTCCATTCTACAGGCTGCCATTTTGCCCTTTTGATGGTATCCTTTGCCTAACAGAAGCTTTTCAATTTCATGAGGTCTCATTTATTAATTCTTATCTTAGTGCCTTTAGTGTAGGTGTTCTCTTCAGGAAGTTGTCTTCTGTGCAATGCATTCATGGCTATTTCCCACTTTCTCTTCTATCAGGTTCAGTGTATCTGGTTTTATGTTGCGGTCTTTGATCCACTTGGACTTGAGTTTTGTGCAGGGTAGTAGATATAGATCTATTTACAATCTTCTGCATGATTACATTCATTTAGATCAGCAACATTTATTGAAGATGCTTTTTTTTCCTATTGTATAATTTAGGATTGTTTGTCAAAAACCAGATGTCCATAGTGTGTGGATTATATCTGGGTCTTCAATTTGGTTTCATTGATAAATCTGTTTGTTTTTATTCTAGACATCATGTTGTTTTTTATTACTGTTGCTCTGTAATACAGCTTGAAATCAAGGATGATGACACCTCTGGAAGTTCTTTTATTGTTCAGGATTATTTTAGTTATCCTGGGTTTTTTATTTTTGCATATGATGTTGACTATTGTTCCTTCAAGATCTGTAAAGCATTGTGTTGAGATTTTGTTGGGAATTACATTGAATCTGTAGATGGATGTTGGTAAGATGGCAATTTTTACTATGTTAATTCCACTGATCTATGAGCACTGGAGTTCTTTACATCTTCCAATATCTTCTTTAATTTCCTTCTTTAAAGACCTGAAGTTCTTGTCATATACATATTTCACTTGCTTAGCGAGAGTTACACCAAGATGTTTCATGTTATTTGTGACTATTGTGAAGGGTGTTGTTTCTCTGATTTCTTTCCCAGCTAATTTATCATTTGTATATAGGAGGGCCACTAATTTTCCTTTAGTAAATCTTGAATTCAGCTACTTCTCTGAAACTGTTTACCAGCTGTTGGAGTTCCCTGGTAGAATTTTGTCTATTACTTATGCATACTATCATATCATCTTCAAATAGTGATACTTTAATTTCTTCCTTCCCAGTTTGTATCACCTTAATTTTCTTTAGTTGTCTTATTTCTTCAGCTACAATTTCAAGTACTTTATTTGAAATTCAGTAGAATTCTGAGCCAAAGCCATCTGGCCCTTGGATCTTTTGGGTTGGGAGAACTTTAATGACTGCTTCTATCTTTGGGGGGGAGGTGTTATAGGTTTATTCAATGTTTACCTGATCTCAACTTAACTTTAAATAAGTGCTATCAATAAAATTGTCCATCCGTTTCAGCTTTTCCAATTTTGTGGCATGCAGTTTTTTGAAGTCTGACCTAATGATATTTTGGATTTCCTTGGTGTCTCTGTTGTTATGTGCCAATTTTTCTTTCTGATTTTGTTAATGTGGATATTCTCTAGGCCTTAAAGTTAATTTGGCTAAGGTTTTTGTCTAGCTTGGTGATTTTCTCAAAGAACCAACTCTTTGTTTTGTTGATTCATTGCATTATTCACTTTGTTCCTATTTTACTGATTTCAGACCTGAGTTTATTTCCTCCTGGCTGCTCCTCTTAGGTGTGTTTGCTTCTTTTCATTTCTAGAGCTTTCAGACTTGCTGTTAAGTCACAGTTATGAGATCTCTCCAATTTCTTTATGAAGGCATTCAGTGTTATGAACTTACCTGTTAGCACTGCTTTTGTTGTGTCCCATACATTTGGGTATGTTGTGTTTTTATTTTCATTGAAATGTAGGAACTTTTTGATTTCTTAATTCTTTCCTTGACCCAGTGGTTAATCAATAGAGAGTTGTTCAGTTTCCAGCAGCTTGTAAACTTACTGTTGCTTCAACAACAGTGGTCTGATAAGATGTTGAGGGTTATGTTAGGTTGAGAAGAATTTCAATTTATTAAGCATATAACAAAAGTGTGGATATTCTTGAAAACTTTCTCTCATTAAAAACAAAACAAAACAAACAAACAAACAAACAAACAAAAACCTAAAGCTAGTCATGGTGCACACGCCTGTAATCCCAGCACTTGGGGAGGCAGAGGCAGGCTGATTTCTATTAGTTCAAAGCCAACCCAGTCTACAAAGCTAGTCCAGGACAGGCAAGGCTACACAGAGAAAGCCTGTCTCAACAAAACAACAACAACAATAAGAACAAACAAACAAAAACTACAAAACAACAAAGCTAACAAACAAAAAACCAAAGCTAAAATGAAAGAGGAAGCTTAAGGAAATTTGTTTTTATGCATATTTGTTGAAATACTTGTAACATAATGCATGAGGCTTATTGAAGTAGAATCATACTCCATAGAATAAGTAATATTCTTCTTATAGTAAAGCACTAATATAAAGAATAACTAATCATAAATAATTAAATATAAGAACATGAAAAGAATAAAATTAATCATGGTTTACATATAAACTTAATACAATGAACAATATAGTATTTCAATACAAATGTCTAAGACTAGCTCCATTTCATTCCTTAGTAACATTATATTTTAGTTCCAGTTAAAATGATAAAATTATGAAATTATAATTAAGCAGTTATATTGCCTATTAACATATTAATACTATCATATTTAGATATTAACAAGTATTTCTAATCCAGTTCATATATATTATATATGATATATATACAATCAGATATAACTTGATTTCTTGTGAAAAGACATCCTCACATACCTCAGTTGTCTTTTTTTTGTTTCTTTGTTCTACATACCTTCTGTATTGTCATGTAGTTATTTGAATTAATAGAAAGTAATTCGCTAATCAAGTTGTGATTGTCTTGATGTAAGAGTTTTGCTGTTTGTTTTTTATTGCAAGTGAAACCTTGTGATTTTCCACAATTCAAACATGGACGCCTACATTATGAAGACTACTACAGGCCCTACTTTCCAGTACCTATAGGCAAGGAGTACGCCTATTCCTGTGACAGCGGGTTTGTGCCGACTTCAAGGTCATCTTGGGACTACCTTCGTTGCACAGCACAAGGGTGGGAGCCTGCAGTGCCATGTGTCAGTAAGTCAATGTCTTTACGTTAAATTATGCTTAATTCTTCGAAAGAGTGGAAACAGTAGAGCCCATGTATAATTACAGCCAAGTTTCTCACGAAAAAAAAAATAAGACCAACAGAAGAATTTGTGAGCAAGAAGTCTAGTTTCTGTCCTTTGTGAGGAGCTCTTCATGAAATGCACAAAAACAAGAGGGACTATGAGAATACCTTTATCACTTGAATATTTTATTAATAAAAACATAAATGCTACACTTTTAAACATTTGATAATAGTTTTGTTTCTTAAAGTCATGCATGTTCATTAAACATTTGTAAAGATAGAATTTAACTTTATTTTCTAACAAAAGAAAGTTTTTTAATTTATCATTTTTATAATTTTAGGGCAATGTGTTTTTCGTTATGTGGAGAATGGGAAATCTTCATACTGGGAAAGAAACTATGTACAGGGTCAGTCTACCAAAGTCCAGTGTTACACTGACTACACTCTTCCAAATGGACAAGACACAATTACATGTACAGAGAATGGCTGGTCCCCTCCACCCAAGTGCATCCGTGTCAGTAAGTAACCTGCTCTGAGAGCATAAGAGGCTCATGGCTCTCCATCCCATTCATATTAACCGGGACAAAATGCTGCATTGTTTCAAGTGTGTGTATGTGAACATAAAGAATTCTTGATAAGTAGCAAAGTAAATATACCTAGTAGCAAAGTAAATATACCTAGTAGCCATTAGGCCCTAATACAACAAAGGCTGAGTAAACTTTCATTTAATTTGTAACACTATCCTACTTTGACATCATCTTGTCATTTGACTCAAAACAGTTATAAAATTGTACTTTAAAATTAAACAAATAGGACAATAGCTACATTCATCTATTCAAGAAATAACTTGACAGTTACTGCTAGTTATCTCGGAATTCTCTGTAATTTGTAACTGGGAAGGAAATTCTCAAACAGTGTACATGGTCTAGGTTTTATATTTTTTCCAATCTCTGTACCAATATATGCTTGTAATGATGATTTCTTTTTGTTCTATATCCTTCCAAATGATTCAGTAATGTTACACTTTATTATTAAGTATAAATTATTATTAAAATAAATGTCTATAAAATGTTACATCATAGTGTTGATATATATTCCTTTTATTATCATGCGGGTTTTTAAAATATAATAACAAGTCAATTGTACTTAATCATTTCTCAAATGCTGTCTTTTTCTAATTCATAATTTATGAATTGTTTTGCTGGAAAGCAAGAATTTTTTAATTAACTAATTTATTTATTCACTTTGCATCCTGATCATAGGCTTTCCCTCCCCTCTTAGCTCTCACTTCCTCCTATCTCCTCCTCCCTTACTCCTCAGACAAAGGGAGCATCTCCCCTACCAACTTAGGCCAGCACATCAAGTTGCATCAGGACTTAGCTCATTTTCTTCCTCTGTGGCCTGGTGAGGCAGCCTGCCAAGGAGAACTAATTGAGAAGCAGGCAGCAGAGTCCAAGTCAGAGACAGTCCCCTTCCCCCTTTCTAGGAGATGCATATGTTGGCAAGCTATCCATTGTCAGTGTATGTGTAAAAGTAAGATTTTTAAAAATCAATCTTTTGGTTATACATATCACAGATGTTTTCTTTGTTGACTTCAGATTTCAAACTTCTTCTATATAGACTTGATTGACATCTTGAATTTTCAGAACAATTTTTAATTAATCACATAATGTTGAGTCTTCCTTTTTATAAATGTGATATTTATTAAAAAATATAATCTGTTTTTGAATGCTTGTCAATTGCCTTTTGTTATAACATTTTCCATATCCAGACTTTTTTATTTTATTATTATTATTATTTATTACAATTTATTCACTTTGTATCCCAGATATAGGCCCCTCCCTCACCTTCTCCCAGTTCCACCCTCCTTCCCTCTTCTGCCCCACCATGCCCTTCCACTAGTCCACTGATAAAGGAAGTCCCTTTCTCCTACTATCTGACCCTAGCCTATCAGGTCTTATCAGGATCCCTGGATCCTCTTTCTCTGTGGCCTAGTTAGGCCACCTTGCCAAGGGAGAGTTGATCAAAGAGCTGGCCACTGAGTCCATGTCAGAGAATACCCCTGCTCTCCTTACCAGGGAACCCACATGAAAACTGAGCTGTCCATGGGCTATATCTGAACAGGAATTCTAGGTCCTCTCCATGCATAGTCATTGGTTGATTCATCAGTCTCTGCAGGAACCCCTGAGGCCAGAATTTTTTTTTTTCTCTGTTGGTCTCCTTATGGAGCTCCTGTACCTCCAGGTCTTTCCATCTCCATCTTTTTCCTTAAGATTCCCTTCACTCTGCCCGAAGTTTGGCTATGAGTCTCAGCATCTGCTTCGATATCCTGCTAGGTAAAGTCTTTCAGAGGCCCCCAGTGGAATGTCCTTGTTCTGTTCCTTGTCTTCCCCTGCTTCCAATATCTATCTTGTTTGTCCTTCTGAATGAGGATTAAGCCTGTTCTCTAGGGACCTCCTTGTTGTTTAGCTTCTTTAGGAGTATAGATTTTAGTATGTTTGTCTTATATTATATAGCTAATATCTACTTATAAATGAATATATATTACATGTGTCTTTCAGCTTCTGAGTTTCCTCACTCAGGATGATCTTTTCTACTTCCATCCATTTTCCTGAAAATTTCCTGATTTCCTTGTTTTTAATTGCTGAGTAGCATTCCATTGTGTAAATGTACTACAATATCTGTATCCATTCTTCAATAGAGGGACATGTAGGTTGTTTCCAGATTCTAGCTATTTTGAATAAAGCTGCTATGAACATAGTTGAGCAAATGTCCTTGTTGTATGGTTGAGCATCCAATCTGTTTGATATTTTGTATGCTTCTTATATCTTTATGAGCATCTGCTTCTTTCGGTTAAGAAAATTTTCTTCTATGATGTTGAAAATATTTTTCTGGGATTTTGAGCCAAGATTCTCCTAAGTCTATTCCTATCCTTCTTAGGTTTTGTGCTTTCATACAACCCATGATTTCCTGGATTTTTTTATGTCAGAAGATTTTCAGATTTTACATTTTGTCTGATGGATCTGTTTCTTCTATTGTGTCTTCAAAACCTGAGATTCTTTCTTCCATATCTTATATTCTGTTGGTGATGCTTGCATATGTAGTTCTTGTTCACTTACCTACATTTTCCATTTCCAGAATTTCATCAGTTTGTGTTTTCTTTATTACTTCTATTTCCATTTTTAGATCTCATACAGTTTCATTTTTTATTAAACTATTTGTGCTTCAGGGTCTTTTCTGAGACTGACATTCAACCAAGGACCCTGTATGGATATAACCTAGAACCTCTGCTCAGATGTAGCCTGTGGTAGCTCAGTAACCAATTGGTTTCCCATAGTGAGGGGAACAAGGACTATTTCTAACAGGAACTCAATGACTGGCTCTTTGGCCTCCCCACCCCCAAGGGAGGAGCAGTCCTGTTAGGCCACAGAGGAAGGCTTTGCAGCCAGTCCTGAAGATACCTGATAAAACAGGATCAGATGAATGGGGAGGAGGTCCCCCCCCCATCAGTGGACTTGGAAAGGGGCACGGTGGAGATGAGGGAGGGAGGGAGGGACTGGGAGGGAATGAGGGATCGGGACACGGCTAGGATACAGAGTTAATAAAATGTAACTGATAAAAAAATAAAATTCAAAAAAAAAGATTAAAAAAAAACCCATTTGTGCTTTTCTTCTTGTTCCTTGGCATGCTTTAAGAAAATTGTGTGGTGAACTCTCACATGCTGCGAAACAAGCTTCCTTGATGAGGGGTGAAACCAGCACATATCTGTGTACATTGGAATAAGTACCTACACTGCCATTAGAAAGTGCACCATTTTAGCCAAACAGTAATAATCGTTTCTTCTCTAGGTAGTTGCCTCGGTTTACAATAACATTTTGTGATGGCATGTCAGTCCTCAGGGATGAAGTACCCTTTGATATGTTCATTTGACATCATGTCTTCTCTGAAAAGGTTCCTCAAAGCTTTCCCCAGTTTATTTTGGTTGTTTCTACTGTTTGTGCTGAATTTTGAGACTACTTGGTATATTGTGGTTATTAGCCTTCTGTAGGGGAGTACTCTCTGTATGTTTTTCCTCATGTGTACATCTCTACTTCTACTGTATTGGTGTTCTAAAAGCAAATGTGTACTTGTTACCTTTCTCATTTTTATTACTTCTCTGAGAATTTTACACAACATATTTTGACCATATTAACCTCCTTCCCCCAGCTCCTTCCACATCTGCCTCCATCCCCACACATCCAACCTTTGTGTTCTTTAAAAAGAAAAATCAAGTTCAATTTGTATGTCCCATCCACCCCAGGTGAATATCTTTCCGGTGAGGCATTGTCAACCTGTGACAGCATGCACAAGGTCTGCAGACAAAATTCAAGTGCCAGGAAAGATAATTAGAAGCTCTCACTCCTAGTCTCAACTTGCACTATTAGCAAATGATATTAAGAGTTTCTTTTTATGCTATTCAATACATCAAAATTTTTTCATTTATTTGTTCTTTTTTCTGTCATCTAAAATGTCCTTGCCTAGGCCAAAAGATGATCTTATAGAAGTTTATATTTTACATTTAGGTATATGATCACTTTTGTGTTAACTCTAATGTGTGTGAGAAATAAATTTAAGCTTATCGTTTTGCATTTAGATGCCTAACTGTTGTTCTATTTAATGAAGGATCAACTTCCACTATGAAATTGATATTAGTTCTTGCTAAGTATGTACTTGTCCTGTGTGTGCCCGATTTTTGACTCCCAGTTCTCTTCCTTTACTTTGTGATTTTTTTTAGTCACCAACATCAAAGCTTTCTTTAATGACTACCAAATTATATAACACTTAATATCTTTTAATATTATATTTAAATTTATATCTTTCTGAACAATTAAATTTAAAATATTAAAATATGAAATGAAATTCTATGTAATAGAAACCTTTGTTGGAGAACTGTGATATTTCTATTAATCAACACATATAATATTTACATTAGTTTTAAAATATCTAGATTCTTGAACATTTTGAAAAAAAATGTCTTCCTGTTGTGGTCCCTTGCCATGTGACTTTTAGAACAAGCTTGCTCGTGTGTGTAAAATACTTTTCTGGAATCAACTTCAAGAAAATCAATATAGTATGCTTAAGATTTTCTACCAGTGAGTATGATGCACTTTTAGTTTCTTATAGCACTGTTCTGTTATATCTAGAATCTTCAGTAGATGTATAGCTAGTACATGTTTTTCACATTAAAGCAATTCTATTCACATTGCTTTATTTATTTGTATGTTTGCTTGCTTGCTTGCTTATTGGTTTCTCTGTGTAGCTTTGGCTGTCCTGGACTAACATTGTAGACCAGGGTGGACCCAAACTCACAGAGATCTGCCTGCCTCGGCCTCCCCTACTGCTAAGATTACAAGTATGCACCATCGGGCCCAGATCATATTTTTTAATAATTTTTATTTTTTTATTAATCACATGTTGTTTACTTTGTATCCCAGCTGTAGCCCCTTCCCTCATTCCCTCCTAATCCCACCCTCACTCC